TTAGGAAATGGAACTGAAAGGGTGGGTCGTTTGCTCAAGGTCACAGAGCCAGTCCACTGGGTCACAGCCCTGGCACTGGTGCGGGGCCCCCAGTCAGCGGGGGCTTCCATGGGCAGCAGGCAGAGGCCCCCCTTTCCTGTGCCAGGAAGGTGAGCTCAGGCCCTCCTCCAGCCTGCATGTCACAGCTCTGGACTTTGTAGAGGAAGCAGGACATTCCAGAATGTGTATGTAGGGAATGAGTAGAGCTGGGATGCGGTAGGGATGACATGAAGTACCAAAGACAGTGTTTCCTCCCTGTCTCCAGACAGCTCTGCAGCCTGGGGTGCCCTCTGGGCAGTGCTGAGATCTCCGGGCTGTCGGTGCTGGGATCTGAGTACACATGTGGGGGCCCCTGCAGAAGCAGGTTTTTGTTGTTAAGCCTCACCCTAGGATAGTTTTTCCATTGAATTTTAGAGACGGTGGGAGGGAGGGAGAGAGAGAGGGAGAGAAACATTCATGTGAGAGAGGCACATTGATTGGTTGCACCCTGACCGGGGCTGGGGATCAAACCTGCAACCCAGGTACATGCCCTTGACTGGGAATGGAATCTGAGACCCTTCGGGATGTGGGCGGACGCTCTAACCACTGAGCCCACCAGCCAGGCGGACAGATTTCATCCTCACATCTTCTGTGGGCCCTTCCCTTCCCTAACTGTCTCCTTTTCCTTCTTTCCAATGATCCAGGACACTGTCTCGGAGATGAGGTGGTACACTGACTTTCAGACGTATTCACGGACGTTCCCCTTCCCCTCTGGGTGCAGGAGTCCCCGCTGTGTGGTCCTGCGGTCCCACGTGGGTGGTGGGGGTGCATGGCCTGAACTTCACCTCACAGCTCATCATCCGTTACCTTAGCCAACTCACAGATGAACAGGGTCGGCTTCATCACAGATGTGGCAATTTGAGGCATCCTTAGGCCCAGACTTTTCAGCTCACAGTCTGTTTCCCTTTCCCCTCCCCATCAAGAGATCTGCTTTGTCAGCCAGTTCCCATCGCCTCCCAGGAGGCGGCGTGGGGCACCCACAGGGCCTGCGGGCCCCTCACTCCTTCCTTTCAGTCTCTCAGGTTCTCCCCGTCTGTCCAGAAAGTGCTCACGGGTCCTTCTGTCACCCACCAGCTGGCACTTATTTTTTATTTCTTTATCCTTTGTGTGTTTTGTCTCCTTTTGACTCTGGTTCGGGTCCAGGGCCATCAGCCTTGGATATGATGCAAGAGCCGGCGGACTGACTGGCTGGGAGGGATGGGGCACAGCTGTGGGCTGCAGCCTCGGCCTGTGGGGGCCAGGCCTTGGTTACGGGCAGTCCCAGGCCCTTCGAATCCTGTAGAAGTTACTGGACACGCTCTGTCGTGGGAACATGGTGCTCACACACACCGTGTGTCCAGGGCCTGGTTGGCTGCAGGTGGACAGGGATGAGGCAGGTCGGGGCCCAGTGAGATTGGGCTCAGGAACCAGGCCAAGCAGCTGGACTTTCTCCTTTGAGGGGACTCGTAGGGCCCGGCTCTGCTGCTCCACACCCTCCTATCAGCTTTCACCCCCGTTTTGCTGAGTCATGGGTGAGCCCTGGCCTGCTCTGCAAGCTGCTCAGGCACATTCTGAGCCCGTTGTTCTGCCTGGGGCCCCTCCTGGGCAGCCGCTGGGAAGCGGGAGCCTCCCTGTGAGAAAGGAGACAGTCTGTACAGACGGGGAGGGCCAAGGCCTCCTGTGTGGGCGGGAGGAAGGGAGGAAGGGAGAGCAGCAGAGCACAGGGTGGGAGGGAGAGCCAGGCTGCCTTCCAGCCCTGCCCCCCTACAGCTGTGTGAGCATTTGGCAGGGGCTTCAGCGCTGTGTGCCTCAGTTTCCCTCCTGATAAACGGTGATAGCAGAACCTATCCTGTAGGCAGTTGTGTGGAGGCTGTAAACCTGTTTCACAATCTCTGATGGCTATAAGGCCCCTGGCACAGTGTAGAGTAACGGTGACTAAGAAAACATGGTTACAGGAAATTGTAAGCGTTAACTTAGCAGAACTGCCAAGGAAGCCTTGCCAGGATCCTGAACTTGGAGCATCTGGAGTGGAGCTGGGTGAGCCCCAGCAGACCCTGAGGTCTGGCCTTCTTCCTTCCCTCCCCAGGGCCTGAAGAAGATCGCCGCCTACATGAAGACCGGCCGCTTCCTCCCCACACCCGTGTACTCCAAGGCTGCCATGTGGGGCAACAAGTAGTGCCCGTAAGTGCAGGACGCAGGAGCGAGGAGCACCGGGGCCTGCAGGGCAGCTGGACGTTCTGCATTCTTTCTGCTTCTTCCCTCCCCCCCCACATGCCCATTGGCCCTTGTCTGCTCCCAACTGCGTGGTCCCCCCCTGCCTGCCTGAGCCCCAGCAAAGCCTGGTCATACCTGCTTGTCTTGTCATTCCCTCCTGGCCACTCAGGACTGACTGTGCTGGTGTTTGGGGGTGTCCATTTCCCCTCTGTTGTCCGCAGTGGCTGGGTGTAGGGATGTATATGTGGGGTGATGGCAGGTAGGACTGTAAGGTTTCTTGCTCATTTCTGTCTTCATGTTCCATGTGCCTCAGCCTGGGGTCTGCATTGGTGGAGTGCCTCCTGTAAGCCTGCGGGACTCAGTGTCACGGTTCGGGGGCCCTTGGGGTGGGGAAGGGGGTTGAGCCGTCCGCTGCTGGTGTGGGATCCTAGTGGCCTACCTTCTGTCACCTTTCCCAGAAGTGTTCCTTGCCCTATACCCTTCCTCCGTGCTCTTACGACATATCTCAATAAAACGCACCCCACTGCATTGTGATTGCCGTTTTACTTGCTCTCCGACTCGATCGGAAATTCATTGAGGATCCACGTCTTATTGGACTTTTTACCTCTGACATCGATCACACTGCCTGAACACTTACTCAACGAAAGTTAGAAATTTGATCTCTAATAAGACCCTGGCAAACCCTACAACCATTCTTGGGATGAGAGCTCTGGATATAGTTCATCTCAGCCGCCAGAGGCACAGAAGGAAGAACAGAAGACTTTAAATGCACGGGTCTGGGAGAAGGCGCCTGAGCTCTTTCTAACGCAGTGGTTCTCAACCTTGGCTGCACATTAGAATCACCTGGGAATCTTTTTAAAATCCTGATTTCTGGGCCTCATCCTCCGGAAATTCTGTTTCTTTGTTACTAATGTTGTGGCCCCACCCCATAACAAAGAAACAGAATTTCCGGAGGATGAGGCCCAGAAATCAGGATTTTAAAAAGATTCCCAGGTGATTCTAATGTGCAGCCAAGGTTGAGAACCACTGCTTTAGCTGCTCTTTGAATAACCTGACGTCTGACCTGGGCCCCGTGTGCTGGGCCAGAGGCCAGCAGGTGTGCGTGGTCAGGAGGAAGTATGGCTTTGACGTTAGGACACCTGCACAGGTGTAGGGCTTAGGGGATCGCCGTGGGATCAGCGCGCCCCTCCACCAGTGGCTGGAGAGTGGAGTTGGGCCTTATTAAGGCACAGCCTCGAGACAACTCGCAACTGGAGGAGCTCTGAAATGTCTTGTTGGGCATCCGTCCCGGTGATCTCTGCCTGCAACTGTACTTCTTGCAGTTACGTAAATAAAAAGGGAGCCATGGGAATCACGTGCCGGGTCATGAAGAAATCAATGATTAACTTAAAAAGATAAAGCTGGTAAGATAAAAGCTCATCAAAGCTAACCAAGGTTTACGAAGTGGGTAAGATAAAAATTAAACCAAAAGCTTGTTTAACTTAAGCAGGGAGGGGTAAGGATAAAAAAGAGAAAGAAATGGAAATTAGGAGTGACACTACGATAAAAGATAAGCAGATTAAAAGATTTATTAACATAATAAAAATGTTAAATCCGAGTAAAACAGTTGTAGGTCCAGAACAGGGGCTGGCACATGTTCTCTGGAGAGGCCTAGATAGTAAATATTTTTGGCTTTTTGGCTTTCTGGCTCAAGTGGTCTCTGTCAATTACTCATCATTGTAGTGTGAAAGCCGACATCGCCAATACAGAAGTGAATGGGTGGGCCCGGGTTCCAACACAGATGGCCTGCTTGCCGACTCCTGATCTAGAAGTGCAGATGAAAAGGAACACCTATATTAAAGTCTAAATATTAGCTCTGAAATGTAACAGAACAAAAGAACTCAATCCTTAACAAAGAGGGAAGAGCCCTGGCCGGTGTGGCTTGACTGAGCATCCTCCCATGCACTGAGGTCGCCGGTGGGTTCCTGGTCAGGGCACATGCCCCGATTGCAGGCTCGATCCTTAGTCGGGGCCGTGCAAGAGGCAGCAAATCTATGTTTCACTCTCTCCCTCTCCCATCCTCTCTAAAAATCAATTTTTAAATCTTAAAAAAAAGAAAAGAGGGAAGATGTGGTAACGAAGGAAACAGTCACAAATGAAAACTATTTGCTAAACATTGTGGTCAAAATGACAAAAGCTAAGCATTTTAAAGTGCGGGGCAGAAATAGCAGAATGTATGGACTTCACACTGTTGGGGCTGCGGGCATGACACCAGGTGTTAGACTCATGGGGTGGGGGGTGGGGGAAGGGAGGTGTCAGACCAGATCTGGGTGCAGCAACCTCGGTACTTGAGTTCTGGCTAGGAAATCACTCAGAACCAAGACTCAAACTACAAGAGAATATTTGTTTATAAAATCACAGAGGTGGAAGCAGTCATTCAGAAGAAATGGGCGTAGGAAACAAGTTACGGAGGCAAAGGAAGGGCCCTTGGGGCTTAGGAGTGGGGAAGGTAAAGGTGACTTGCCTGGAGGAAGGGGAGGGGGAGGGGAGAGGCCCTGGGGTGCTCCTGGGAGAGGGTGCTGGGTCCTGTCCTAAGGTTTTTAGGGTGGAAATTTTAGGGGGGGTCCCAGGGGAAGATCACAATAGAATATTCCGCAGCTTTCCAGGTGGGTCCTTTCAGGGTCTAAGTCTCCACTCATGGATTGGTCCACGCCCTGGCAGGGGGGTCATTATCCAATGCAGCTGGTCCTGAGGTCAGCCCTGGGGTCACTAGTCTGATTTTACTGCTTTTCTGGGGCTGGAGCTGAAATATAACTGAGGCCTAGAGGTTATCTCTAGGGAAGAAAGGTCAGGGGTCCAAACCGCAGGGCCAGCGATGTGCTGGGGAGCAAAGGTCGCCCCCAGAGGTCCCACCCGCAATGGTCCATTGCTAGGCACCTGGGGCTTTCCCCCTGGTGGCCTGTGCCTGGTCCATCGTCCTTGCTCTGCTCACCACGTCTACCCCGAAACGGAGGCAACTGAAAAGGTGATTTGGTTGTGGCTGGACCCGGCAGAGGTCTCAGGACTTGGGGTTCTTTGGTGCCTGGTGACAGTGCTCAGATGTAGTTGAGGGTGTATGTCCCCTTCTAGAATGGGGACACAAGCCACACTGAGAAGGGGGCACCGGTGTCCCCCGCGTGGGTCTGTGATCTCCTGTGTTAATGACAAGCTCCCTGCCTAGGGTTCCTCGGCTGCTATCGTAGTAGCAGAGAAAGGCAAAGCTGATGGAGACCTCAAGAGAGCAGCTTCTAGAAAAGGAAGTTTGTTCTTCTTTCAGGTTCCACGGCCAAGAGTCCGAGTGTTATGGGCGGTGAGCCAGACACGAGCAGAGCAAGGAGAGAAACTCTCCAGGCACAGACCTCGCCAGGGGCCGAAAGCCCGGCTGCCTAGCAGGGGGCAAAACTGGAAAAACAAGACTCACACCCCCGGGGTGACCTTTCCTCCCCTAGCTCATCGCTTGGACACCCTGACTTTTTCCTCCCTAGAGGTAACATCTGGGCCTCAGTTGTTTTCCAGCTCCGGGCCCAGAAAAGCAGCGTAACCAAGTAAATGGCTGCCTCAGGCCCAGCTGCATTGACTAATGGCGCCTGCCCTGCACCGACCAATCGGGAGACCATGACCCCGAAAGAGCACACCTGCAAAGCTGCTGAATCTTCTCTTAGACCCTCCCCTGGGCCTCCCCTAAGGTTTCCACCTGCAGGAAAGAGATAAATACGCTCAGGATGAAGGACCCAGCACACGCTCACACTCTCCCTCTGAGGAGTTCGCCCCTGCTATTCCGCACATGCCCAGGTTACTAGCTAAATCCCTATTGTGGGTGTGCAGGAGGCAGTCAATCAATGATTTGCTCTCATCATTGATGTTTCTATCTCTCCCTTCCTCTCTGAAATCAACAAAAATATTTTAAAAAAAGAATTATCTGAAATCACAATATCAATTAATTATATGTAGATGGTCTTTCTATACTTCTTTTGTATACTTATTACTTTTTTTTAATAACACTAAAAAATTTGCTATAACCATCAAAAATATAAAACTTGCCAAGTCCCTAAAGAATAGAGGTTGGGCCGTAGCTGGTTTGGCTCAGTGGATAGAGCGTGGGCCTGCGGACTGAAGGGTCCCGGGTTCGATTCTGGTCAAGGGCATATGCGTGGGTTGCAGGCTCGATCCCCAGTAGGGGGCATGCAGGAGGCAGCTGATCAGTCGATGTTTCTATCTCTCTCTCCCTCTCCCTTCCTCTCTGAAATCAGTAAAAATATACATTAAAAAAAAAAAAAGACAAGAACAGCCCCAGCCAGTTTGGCTCAGTGTCGGCCCGTGGGCTGAAGAGTCCCGGGGTTGAGTCCTGTCAAAGGCTTGTACATTGGTTGCAGGCTTGATCCCCAGCCCTGGTTGGGTGGTGCAACACTCTCCCTCTGAGGAGTTCGCCCCTGCTATTCCCCCACAGGCGCCTACCCCCTAACCTCTAAGGGACCCCTGGAGACCTGCAACCAGGGGAGCAGTGGGCAGCAGCAGCTCGTCCTGGGAAACCCCCCTGAGCCTGTCTCCAAGGCCCCCTTTTCTCTGACTTTCCAGCCAGCCAAAGCGGCCCCACCTCGGCGCTCCTGTTGCTTCTTCTAAGCCCGTCCTCTGTCACTGTCCTAAGTATAAATTCTTACTTTCCTACACTCTGTCTCTGGATTGAAATCTTTCCTTCAAAAAGACAAAGCCCTACCTGGTTTGGGTCAGAGATAGAGCGTCGGCCTACGGACTGAAAGGTCCGGAGTTTGATTCCAGTTGAGGGCACATGCCCGGATTGCGGGCTTGATTCCCAATAGGAGGCCTGCAGGAGGCAGCCGATCAATGATTCTCTCTTCTGTCTCATCGTCGATGTTTCTATCTCTCTCTCCCTCTCCCTTCCTCTCTGAAATCAGTAAAAATATACATTAAAAAAAAAAAAAGACAAGAACAGCCCCAGCCAGTTTGGCTCAGTGTCGGCCCGTGGGCTGAAGAGTCCCGGGGTTGAGTCCTGTCAAAGGCTTGTACATTGGTTGCAGGCTTGATCCCCAGCCCTGGTTGGGTGGTGCAAGAAGGCAACCAATTGATGTGTCTCTCTCATATCAATATTTCTCTCTCTGTCTCTCCCCCTCCCTTCCACTCTCTCTAAAAAAAATTAATGGGGAAAATATCCTCAGGTGAGGATTAAAAAAAAAAAGAGAGAGACAAGAACTAAGGTCTCACAGTCTCCCCGGCAACAAAGGCTGTTGGGCAGCCCTGGTCCCTGAAGTTACACGGGACGAGGCCCCTTCCTTCCTTCTTGTGGCTCCTATGTCTCACAGGGTGTTTCCCGTCTCTGGTGGAAGCTGTGTCATGAGCCTGTGAAGAAAACTAGAGGAAAAACCCACGGAAACAGCGTGCTCTTAGCAAGTGAGGCCAGAGTTGCATAAGTCACAGTCGTTCACAGTCTGTTCGTGAGGTTCCCACGTGTGGCTCTACTTGGACACAGGGGTAGACCCACGTTTCAAAAGAATGCATTT